ATTTCTGAAGAACAAAGCCAAAATAATTGACTTTGGTAATTGCAAGCAGGTTTGCCCATTGCTAACAGTGGATCTGGCCATGCCACAAATTACTTTGTCTTTGCCAAAAACTTGAGCATAAAACTCCACCACCTAAAATATCCATTGCTCCTCAATGACCAATTAGCCATTCTGTGTAAAACAGCTACTTTAAATCAGTGCTTTTCTTCTTTATAAGGTACACATAAGTAAGTACAAGTGGTATTCCCAGTGTGAAGATTCTTTCAAACTGGTGGACAAAATTTTATCAGAGAGAAAAGAAAATTAAATTCTTGACAGATGGTCTAGAGTACTGGTTCTCAGGGTGCACAGTATTATCACCTGAGGTACATGACATGTGAAAATGCTCAGACATCCCCAGTGTGTGCATGAGAGAGTCTGATTTGGATAATCTGTGCATACAGACTTTCTAAGAGTGCCTCCAAGCACAAGATCATTTGAGTTCTTGAAGAAAGAGAGCTCAGTGTTGTCAGAAACATCACAGAAGATCATTTAAAAAATAGCATCTGGGCTGGGAATCATATGATCCTTTGAAAGATTCTCCATCCCTTTGGTTCCTTCACACAACCCATCTCCTGGGTTTTTATCTTCAATTGATAAATGAACCACTTTGTTCTTTCCAAAAAGACACTGTAGGAATGGGAAGCGTGCTGCACCTACTTTGTTGGCAATGAGCTCTTTAACTTTAGGAAAAAGATATTTCTAGCTAATGAGAAAATTTTATCTGAGAACTTGATGGGTTTTAAAAATATTATTCATTAGAAACAGCCTGGATTTGCTTTTTTTCCTAATTCAAGACCAGGTGGACCTTTTCTGTGTTTATCATCCTATAGTGGTGGGCATGGTTTCTGACGATGGTCATAGGTTGGGGGCAGTCTCATTTTCACAGATCTTACTGTGAATTTTAACATGCATTCTATGGGTGCTTACGAAAAAGGAGAAGTACTTGAGAGTATGAATGACTCCCTATTGTATCCCCTGCATATTTTGCTATATTTGCTATGTTTGTGGTTTCTTCAAATTCCATAGCTTTAATTAGATGAACAGGAATGAATATGACATTGAATGGAAGCTAAGAAGCCAGGTTCATGCAGAAGAGACCACATGCCTTAGGAACTAGTGTACCATGGACAGCGGTGGAGCTCACAGTGAGCTGTGGTTTCTCCAGAGCTGAGAGTGAATGCAAGGATGAGAAGTGTGTTAATGTCTAGAGTTATGAAGGGGTTTTACCCCACTGATTTTAGGTAGAGACCATTAAGAAAGTAAACAAATCTCGTAATCCTAACAGTATTTCAGTGATTATAATTTTGCATTGGATTATTAAAGTAATCTTATGGCAAAGAAGACTAGCATATCTGAAGTGAAAATATTTGGGGGAAGACCTTGGAAATACAGTAGAAGGAAATCTGGGATAAGAGCCAAAAAAACAAAATGTGGCTGCCAAGATACGAAAGAGAAGAGTCTGAACGAGTCCTCCAGTTCTGAGTCAGCACCTGTTTTGTATTCAGTCATGTAAAGGGCACTCTGAGATCAGAAACAGACGTCCCCAAGAGGTGGGCAGACCAACAACATGGGCATCCTTAAGGCTCAGTGTCGGCCAGGCTGTGAGACTGCATAATCCCTGCATCCTGGTATGTATTAGCCCTGCCAAATGATCAAACACAAGCTTGAACTTCTATGTTTACCGATTCTAGAGCATCCCTTGCCCTGTAGGCAGTTTTGTTAGAAAATATTCTTGCATTTTATAAACATCCACAGAATATCCTCCTGCTAGTTTTCCCTCCTCATCCCTGTCCTAAGACAGGCTCAGGTTTACCAGGTGTAGTACCTAAGCCACTTTGTGCATGAAGAGATGAAGAGTGGTTTGAGCCACACTGCCATCCATGTTAGCTTCCTGTGGCTGCTGTAACAAATCATAAATCATGCAGTTTAAAAGAACTTTATTCTCCTGCAGTTCTGGAGGCCAGAGTCCAAAGTCAAAGAATCTTCAGGGCTATCCTTCCTCTGGGCTTGTAGGGGAGAAATCATTGTTTATTTCTTCCTTCCTCCAATGACTCCAGGTGTCTCTTGGCTTGTGGCTGAATCACTCCAATTTCTACTCCTGTTTTCCTCTGACCTCACTGTATGTCTCTCTTTTTCTTATCTGTTATAGGGATGCTTGTCATTAGATTTAGGGATATCTTGATAATCCAGAATAAGCTCCTTTCAAGGTCTTTCATTTAATTACATGTGCAGAACTTGATTTTCCCCCACTGAAGTCATGTTCACAATTCCAGGGAAGAAGATTTGGTTGCGTCTTATTGGAGGCCACTATTCAACCCTGTATCTATCATCTTATCTTAATCACTCTTTTCTCAGTCATCATTAAACTTTGAGAATTGTGACTCCTTTGGATAATGTAATAAAAACATATTTATTTGTAGATAATATACAAATATTCCAATAAACATGTTTTTATTTAAAATTTCAGTGAATTCAAAATCCACTGTCACCACCAAAGCCCACACATGTACTGTAGGTTGAAACATTTTGTCTATGTCCTTTTTGAATGGCACTATCCAAAACCAACTGCAATTTTTCTTTGTGATCTGGCTAATGTACAAGACCTCAGGATGTTGCTTTCTTTTTCTAAATAATATGTGTATTTTGTTCATCTATTTTAAGTATTTCAGGTCTCCCTGAAGTGTATATTCATATTAATCACATTGTAATTGAGAGAACCTTAAGCTGATATTCTTATTATTATTCTTTGACTTGAACTGTACCAGGTCTTCTTTTTCCTATGATTCTTATGTCACTACCAGAGGGAAGATCTGACATTTCTCCCTGCTTTATCACATCTTATTAAATTCAGCTCATCTCTTTAGACAGTCAAGACTTCCTTGGGTCCTGCTTCTGCTATCAAATGTATCGACTGTTTCTTCCAGGTTTATGTTCATGGCAAGTTCAGTTTCCATTCATGGTCATTATTTTCATGTCTGCAAGTCATTAATGCAAATGATGAATAAGAAAGAGTAGACAACAGACCCTTGCAGCTGAGTATCGGCACTTCCCTCCTGGTTGGTTTTAATACTTTAATTAGGTGCTGTTCAGCCAAATAATTTTACTAGCATCTGGCTCATATTTTTTCCATATCTTTTCTTCAAAATTGCTATGGCAGACCTGTCAGCTGCCTTGCCAACATTCAAGTAAATCATGTGCCTCATAATTCTCTCTTCTCTCTGCCTAGTAATCTTTTCATAGTAAAGAATGGGCTAAGTCTGACATGAAGCATTTCATGATCCATGAAATAACAAAACTGTTTATAGTAAGCAGAAGTCTTTGGTTTGACATCACTTGTATCCTGCTGCTCAGAGCGGTTTATTCAAAGGAGACTTACCAGGCAAAGTGGCATTGCATGTGGGAGCATTTTGATGAACTGCATGGAGGAGGAAGGAAATGTTTCAGGTCTTCTCCCAGTCGTTTGTGCTTTCAATTTAATTCTCTCTTCAAGTAGAAATTCAGAGGGAGTAGCTATTTTGTTAAAGATTTAAAATGAGCTGACTTGTGACCTTTGAATGAATTCAGAATTAAAAATTGGAAATTCCTTAGTGAATGACCTGCTGGAAATGTCTGAGATTTGGAAACTTGTAGATTTAGTAAGGATTCAAGGAGACAGAAAGACCCAGGAGAAGACAATTAGATTCATTCTGCTCTACACAGTATCAACCACCTACATGGCATGTCCTAGGCTCGAGGCTTCTGCAAAGACCATTCTGTTTTATCGAAGGGGAGACTCCTCGGTCTCTTCCACAACATCTGGTTGATCTTATTTCAGATAAGGCTTTACAAATTTCATTTAACTTTTATCTGGTAACACATTCAAAGTTGTTTCCTGAGATGTATTTTAAGTCATAAGACATAGAAAAGCGATTCTATTTCTCTCCTTCTTTCATTTTTTCACCTTCATCTTCCAGATAGGAGAAGGAAATGTCTCATGAAAAGAATTACTTGATTGATGTGAGCACAGCAGAATCCTGGCTGGCAGTGTGAAGTGTGATTAAGTCTCGCCAGAACACAAGCCATCCCGTTCCTTGAAAGACTTGCTTTGCTTGAAACTCCTGGCGTGACTGGCTTCCCCTTTTCACTGCTGTGATAGATGCCTTGCTTTGTATTTGACATGCAATCCCAGTGGAGTATGGATGATCAGTGTATGTTTTTCCATTTTTCTAGAAATGATTGATCATTCATATTTATAGGGCTATCAACTTCTGGGCTTTGAAAAGGTCAGTATTGATTATCTATGTCACACTAGTGGTTTGCTTCTTTACCATACATAAATATAAGTTCCTTTTATGAGACTGGTGTGCTTTTTCCAGGGAGGAGAGGGGATAGTGGGCATTAATGTGAGTTAGGCATTGGAATGTCTACTGAAACACACTTAGACAATGCAGATACAACATTTTGGCATTAGGGGTCATACTTTGGATAATCCATTTCCAGGCTCCCAACACACACTCACACACACACACACACACACACACACTCCACTATACAGATGAGAAATGTGGTTCTTGTCCATGGACATGGTAGATAGAACCCCAGTTGCACTAAGGAGAAGTGGAAAGGCTATTGTTAACATGTGAGCAGTGATCTCAACTGGGTGCTGGACTGTGGACTGCTGGGTGCAGTTTTTACTTCTCTATATGGTCTATATCCTCAATGTGTCCTATAAAGTGCCCATGTTGCTTAAGCATTAAAAAAATAAACCCATGGTAATGAAACCCACTGTGAATGACAGGCCAACTGGCTAGGGCTGTGAGGGTGGTGGATTCCCCTCAATGACCTTCCAGGAACTCTCTGGAAGACCGGAAGAAGTCAGGCGGCAGTGAAGTTCTCCTCGTCCTCCCTAGTCTCGGTGGACCACTGACTGACCGTGGGCCCTCTCTGCCTGTCTCTCCCATTCTCTCCTAAACACTTAGAGTTTTTGGCCACTTCAGCCTCCGCTCCGAATGGCAGTTGGTGAAAGTGGACTACAAATCCATCTTTAGCCGGCGCTGCACCAAGGAGGACTATCAGACATGGCACCTGCTCAATCAGGTACAGCCAGGCGGGGGCATGCTGGCCTTTAGGGAAAGGAGCCATTGTGAGCTGGTGTTCAGCCCTGGAAGGCCCTTCCTGTGTGTGGGAGAAACATAATGGGCCATCTGAGGACACAGGTGCAGACTTCAGGGCAGGGTTAGATATAACCAGACCAGCAGTACCTTAGGATCGTAGGTACTCACTGAGGTCACTGAGTTTCCTGGGGGGAGAGAAGATGATGGTAATCTGGGGTCTTAGCTGCATCTGTGGAGAAGTAAATACCAGACAGGTAGGACGCTCTCCAGGGGAGTACTCATCTGCCCTGCCAGTGTGGAGAGACAGGGCGTGTCACAGCCAGCCTGAAGCCAGAGGGGAGAGGACTGCAGAGAAAGGGGCAGCGTCCATGGGTCTGACCATGGCAGGTATTTATTGCTATGTAGTGCAGGCGGACATCTGCCTTCTTCGGAACTCTTGGGTCCTTGCATTACGTTCAAGTTCTCCTCCTCCTTTGGTCTTTGACTAAGAACTGGAGCTTGGGAATGGACATTCATCAAAGAGCAGGAACTTTCAGAGTGTACTACAGTGAAGAGGATGGGAAGAAAATGTGTCAGAATAGGCTTCTTTCCACTAGACCTGCTGCTGAAGCTACTCACACAGTGTACCTGGTGGTCTGTACAGGCCACTGGAGTCTGGGGCTGGAAAGAAGCAGGATGAAGTAGATATTATGGGATAGCAAGGGTGAAGACGTGGCAGTGGGCCAGGTTCCCATGGTGTCCCTCGTGTGCTGTAGCAGAAGATTAGCACTTTTGTTCTTGCAATTTCCAAGTGGTTAGTGGGAATCAAATTGCTACCTAGAGTGACTGAAAGAATGAGAAGGCTACTGATTCTTGTTGAGATGCAGGTTTGCATCACCTCCTGTGTGCTCTTCTCCTCTCTCACTGTGGACTTTTTCTTTAAGGGAGAACCTTGTGTTATGGGAGAAAGGAAAATATTCAAGAAACGGAAGCCGGGAGCTCAGTGTGCCCTGGGCCGTGACTACTCAGGGTCCGTGGTCTCAGAACCCTGTGTCTGTGCTGACTGGGACTTCGAGTGGTGAGTCCTTTGGCATTTAATCACCAACTACAACTCAACATTCACTTGTTTGTGTGTGGGGGGGGATGGGGAGAAGATGGATTTAGTAGAGGAAGGCACAGCCCAGAGGTGGGAAGTTTGTTTGCTGGTGTGGTGAGTGGGACAGGTGAGAGGTCCGCGTTGCTGGAGGAAGGACAGGCTGAGGCTCTTTGCAGTGTGGGGGATGCTCCTCTGTCTCTGCAGCGTTTCCCAGAGGCCTTCTCATCTTCAGGGAGCAGCAGTGTTGGACTCTTCCAAGGATTTGGGCTGGACACTGGTGGAACTCAGAAAGCTACTGTCTTGGATCGTCACCTCACACATATTCACTCAAACTGTTCTTCCATGGGAACTCTATGTAGTCCTTTCCTTTTATTCATATTCTAATTTTAACTGACGTATAATATTTGTGCATATTTATGGAGCTCCATATAATAACTTGTATATTTGTATACCATGCAATGATCAAATCAGGATAATTAGCATTTTGGTCTGCTCAACCACTGATCATTTCTTTGTCTTGGGACTCTTCAGACTCTTCTACATAATTGTTTTCTTTTTATTTCAAAAAGTAAAAACAAAAAAAAAAACAAAAAAAAACAAAACAACAATGAAGACAAAATGAAAACAACATAAAAAACCCAAAATGATACATGACCTCAAAACAAAGTGATAGGGATTAACAGTGCTTGCTCCTTACATACTGTTATCTTCAACCAAGTTGCTCAGTCCTCCAGACATAAGAATGTAGATTGATCAAACCACCAAGGCCGTTACCAGTTATTAAAAAAAAATTGGAAATGATTCAGAGCTTCACCATCATAATTGGGTTTTATGGTTTTGTTTTACTTTATCAATTTTTGTGGTACTACAGATTGAACCCAGGACTTTATGCATGTTAGTGGAGCCCGCTCTCCCTGAGCTACATCACCAGTTCTCACCTACTGAAATTTAAATCTCAGCTACAACCAGTGACTCACACATTCTGAGTATTTACCTCTAACCATGCCCTCCTCTCTCTGTAGAGAGAGATATGATCTGTATGTCTACTCGCTGTATGTACATGATCTGTATCTACTCGCTGCACTTCTCTGGATTTGCTGAATGAGGCCAGGCTAGCTGTGGCCAAAGCAGAGCTCTTCTGGGAACCCTCACTGGGAAAAGTTTCTGACCTCCTTTTCCAGCCTCAATAACACACGCAGCTGTCCACTCAGTGGCTGAAACAGTCACCTCAGAGGCCTTGCTCACTTCACTCCCAAAAGGAGGCCATCAGTGAACCTCTGCATTTTCTTCTTCCAAAGCACAGTATGTCTCAAAGCCTCTTGACCCATCTACACAGTTGTAAGGAATGCTCTAAATCTACTGGTCCTCTCTTCACTTCTACCCTTCATGTTTTAAGGTTTTGTTGGTGCAGTGCATAGTTTACATTCATCTTAGGGAGTAGGTACATGTACTTAACATACCTTAATTATTTGATTCCCTTCTCTTCCCCCTCCTCTTCCCTCCATCTCTCGATCTGCTTCCCATTTGCAAAAGACCTGGCTCCCTATTTTCTACTGTCTACCATTTATTTTTTAAAATATTTATACTTCGGGTCTGTCATATAAGAGTAGTCATGCAATACTTAACCATGCATGCCTGATTTATTTCACTTAATATTATGGTCTTAAGATGCATCCATTTTCCTACAAATGACTCAAATTTATCCTTCTGTATGGCACAGTAGTACCACTTTGTGTATTAATACCACATTTTTTATCCATTCATTTGTTGATGGGTAGGTAACCATTTCCAAGATTTAGGTATTGTTGCACTGCTGCAAACATGAGTGTGTATACACTGCTGCAATTCACTGTCTTGTGTCCCTCTGAGCCACCACAGACCCTCACCCATTGCTGAGAAGCCACACAAGTAAGGAACAAGCGCTACAGCGATGTATTTTTCCTTCAGCAATTCTATTAACATTCAGTGGTCTGGATAAACACTCCAGTGTTAATACTCAAATGTTGATCTTGAGAATTTATTCTTCATCTCTATGCCTTTACCTCCTTAACTACAAAATAAAAATATATGTATCATGTATCTCATTAAGTTCTAGAGAGAAATAAATGAGTTAAGAAGGGAATGAATGCACGCCATTGTTACAGAGGGGTGTTTATCTTGGTGATGTTTAAAATAGCCATACAACACACAGTGGCTGTTGTTAATATGCTATGTGACACTTGCACCCTAGGTTTATTAAGTGGTCCCCATCCTAATCTCAGCAAATAAACCAGAGCTCACCCATCCCAATAGGCACTGTCTTCAAAGTAGTGACTCCGAGTGCTTCCTGTTTATTTTAATATTGGTGGCATTGCTTAATGACTTCCTGAGCCCTTCTTCAGGGATTTCTGTCAGAATCTGCCTTTAAGTAAAGCAAGGGGTGAGGGGCAGAATCCTGTCTGCAGTACCACATGGTTCTCACAGTCACATTGGTGGAGATGCCACCCAGATCCAAGATCGGCTGTCTCGGCATCCTTCCTCTTGCCTAATGAATGAGAGGCAATGGGGATCCTGTCATAAGTTACTTGAGCAAGGTTACAGAGGTAAGCAAAAGCACTGGAGTTCAAACTCAAGGCTTGCTAAACTGCACACTCCCATCTATGCCATTGTTTCTCAAGAAATCAAGCCAGTCCTGTTATTTTAGATTTACATTATGTTTAGAAGAAATAGGGTCTCCGTGTTAAGTTAGTCTAAAATTAAAACTCACCTCCATATGACCTACGTTTACTGCTATTGGTGAAACTTAATACAGAATGTTTTATTAACTCTAAAACAATTTCCAATGAAGTAGCCTTGACCTTTGGTGCAGGAATTGTAACAGATATACAGTCTCTTGGAAGACTTTATAGATTTTTCTTTTAAGTATGAGTGATTGTATGTTTACATCTCTGTGGTGAGTCATACCTCATATTAAAAAGAAGTTGGAGACACAGTGGACAGTCACACAAGGTTGGATGGTATGTAGTGCTCTTAACTGGAGAGCAATAGTAAGAAAGTAATATGGCCTAGAAAGTCATATTATTTTTTCACCATTTCTGAGTATTGGACAAGTCTTTTGTGATTTCTGAATTTTCTGGTTTATTTACAGTGGTGTAGAGGGGGGAAATGGGAACGGATATTTGAAATTGTTGTTTTTGAAGTCTATTTCAGTGACCATCGCTACTGGCTTAAAATTGTAATTTTTTTCATCAAATGTTATTAGTCTCTTGGTCTTTAATGATACTGCTGGAAATCAGTGCATAGCAACTGTTTCCTAGCCTTGTCCCCTTCTGTATGGTCTTCCCTACCAGGAAGTATTATTACCTCAGGAACCTGAGGTGCTGAGCTCAATCAGTACAAGCAATTATCATGTACATCCCGTTTAGTTGTTTCCCTAGGTCAAATCAGGGCACACTCATTTGATTGGCCCATGCCAAGTTTAAGTCTCAGACACAGCAGGGAGAGGATATAACCTAGTTTAGGGAGGTTGAAAGCTGGGGGAAGAGGATGAAATGTCTTCACTTTGGTAGAGGCTTTGAGAAACTTGGAGGTAGGGTAATTTTCACCTATGTCCTTCCACTGTTTAGAGAGCTTTATTGATTCTCAGAAACATTTCATCTGTAGGCTGTCCTTGGCTCCCATCACGTTCATGAGAGTGAGTATCAGTAATAAAGGTGAACGGTGGATAATTGCTTCATACCCTCACCTCAAACTTACATGAGAGAGCTACTTTGCAGCTACCTCCATGGTGCTATTGAGGAGCCAGGAGCAAATTCTCACTGAGAATCAAGATCACCAGAGGCTGCAGGTAGCCGGGAAAGGGAGGATAAGGGCTTACTTTGAAGTTCCACAGGGACTCCTGTGGAGGAGTAGCCCTCTGGGAAACCCAAGTATATTTGATCAGCAAGAAACCAGTTTAGACAGTTTTGTCTTCATTGTTCATCTAAGGACTTGCTCAATCAACCTTAACTTTGCTGAGCATACGTGAGGTGCTGCACCAAGTGTTAAACATCAGATCTCTTAATTAATTGCCTCAACCAACTCCTGAAAGGAGAGTTTGCTATTACATGTATCTTGTAGATGGAAATTAAGATATAGGTTAATTTATTCAAGAAAATAGGATTTGGACTCCAGAATCTGAGTCTTAGGGGCTACTCTGCATGTCTAGTGTGGTAGCAGACCTTCAAAGCATAGTTAGGAAGTGGTGATGTACCTTGAAGACAGAGGAAAAGAGGTCTAGGGATGCCATGGCTCATAAATTCAGATGTATCCAAAATCCATTCAGGCTTTGTGCGTATGGAACACAAGAGAGGATGCTGCCTCTAGAGCGGCCACGCCAAACTGTAACCAAGGTAATAAACGATGTAGAAGCAAGAGTTACTGCGCTAAAAGAAGGTATAACAGAGACTAATAAAAAATATAATAAAGTGCTGAATTTTATGGGCCCAAACTGTACTATCCATTATAATGGTAGTAGCCACCAGTCACATGTGCATATTTGCATTAAAGTGAAATAAAATTCCAAAATCAATTCCTTAGTTATACTGGTGAGTGGCTACCATGTTGGACAGCATAGATATAAAATATTTCTATATTGTAGCAAGTTCTCCTGGAAACAAGGATCCCCAAGGGCTGATAGCAGCATGGAATAGGTCCTTTAGGAGGTGGTCAGGGAGCTGTAGACTTACTGCAGAATGATTATAGGAAAATAAGTAGGCTTTCAGAGCACTGGACACCAGATTGTCATTAAAACAGCAGGCAAGTAAGGAACTTTTGGGGAGCTAGAGGAGTGAGACAAACTGACAGAAGAGGGTTAGATTAGGAGAAATATTTGAGGGATTATTATTGGGTTTCCTAAACAATTTCTGAAATGGCTTGGATGCACATGTCTTTTTCTGGGGCTATATTTGCGCTTAGACTCTAACTGATACCATGTTAATTATTAGTCCATTGGTGGTGCTGGTGTTGTGGCTGCGTCTGTTTTCTGAGTGCTCACTCAGTGCCCACTTCAAATTTACCATGCTACCTAATGCCCTGAAAGGAGCCAGAGGCGCCTGAGGGCCCCAGGCCTGTGATCTCAGCTGCTCCAGGGGAGGACAGAGGAAGCAGGGCTCAAGGCACTGGCGGCGGCGCTATGCGTGGTCTGAGACTTGGGCAGCACCGGCAGGTTGTTGGGAAGAGACCACGACTGTGGTCATCTCCATGATTCTTACAGTGTCATTCTCGGGGACCAGGGACCCTCTCTGACCACAAATGTGTGCATGTGATGTTGTACTGAACGGGGAGTAGCAATCTCGCTGTTTACCTCCGTCTGCCACCCTCGGCTATGCAGAACCTGTGCCAAGTTGTTTGTTCTGTTTTTACTTTTCCTTTCTGGTCCACAACTGCAGGGATTGGAGCCCAGGGCATGCAAGCAGCCTTCCTATTCTGACACGCAGAGACTTCTGGCTTCTGAACAGTCCTGGCTGTTTTTTATTGGGAATCTGAGGTCTTTCCTTGGACAGATGGGGTTTCAAAGATGCACAGGTTCCTGGGACTGGACAAAATTTCCCCTAAACTTTTAGCCATTCCAAATGTTTTATAATCAAGACACACAGAAAGATGACTCATTTCTTGAGGGAAAGTGCTCGTGTGCTTTAGCATCTGTGACGTTCACTTCCCCGAGGCAAAGCAACCTTTCTGGCATGTACTGTCCAAGGCTCGCAGTTCAGCAGGACACACCTTCCCACAGGAAGCTGCAGCGGCTGCCAGAGCCTCTGTTTGTATAAATCATACAGACTGGAAAGCTGGGAAAGGAGGTTGGACAGTGTGAGATTCTAATATACACACAGCAGAAATTAATGAAGAAGTCCAAGGCTTGGGGGCAGCCAGTTTCCACTAAAGCTGTTAAATATTAATGAGGTGCTTTTGCTCCTTGGGAAGAAGCTTCCTGCCTGATGTACCGTTTTTAATTACTGCATCACTAACAGGTAGCAGAGCCGAAAGAACCGCCAAAGTCGGTTACATTTCCCAAACAGCATTGAAACATTTTTCTCCTTCCCAGAGCTGCTGAGAAAAGCGTCCTTCTTTCACAGAGTGCCAGTATTTCCTGGGGCTGGCAGGACATTTCAACAGGTTTACCTCATAAAGAAGTCAGAGAATGTTCCTGAAAGAGTGCAGACACATCACAGCTTAATGATTCCATGGATAGAAATAATGCTTGGAGATAAGATATTCAGTGGAGTGCTGGTAAATATTGAAGTACTGGCCCTCTAGGAACAAATAAATACTGTTTATTGTACATACTCTTACCATGGCAGGCTTGAAGCTACCTATGTGACACCAGTGAGTGAAGCGTGGGAAGAGGTAGGAATCAGCCCCAAAGTATACAGTATTCCTGCCGTACAAACACATTTGTGGAAATAACCTCAGTAACACAGCTAATACGGTAATATCATGATAATATGATTCTTTTATAGGTAGCATAATATATATAGTAATAAAATACAATAGCAATTAGGAAATTGCATTTTGAGAATTTATAAATGCATAAATATAATTTACATAAATGAAATTTCATATAGGTCCGTTTTAACAATGACTTTGCTTAATTATTATTAATTATTCTGCAAAATTTGTGAAATTTTAACAGTCAGATCTCATGGGCTGTTGCAAGTCCATATGAACTGTCTTGCTAAGAGAGCTCAGTAGCTGACTAGGAGGCCTGACAAAATATTGACTTGGCTGAAATGCCTTTTCTTTCCTTTCTTCCTTTTTCATTAAAACAGAACCATATCAAAGTTGCTCTGGAGTTCCACCTGTGTATCAGTCTACAGCCCCACTCACACTTCCTCTGCATTTATCTCTTGAACCCTGTCTGAACTCTCTGCAGTTACATTGGAGCATCACAGAGCCTGTGCAGAAATAGATACAACATCGTGGGATAATTAGTGAGGTTTTTTAAATGCAAGTGGAATATCCATTCATTCAATGAATATCTACTCTACACCTGCAGTATCTTAGACATAGTCTTACATTGCTGAAAAACAGCAACAAATATCTCAGCTTTTTTGTAGTTTCCATTTATTTTTCCAACACATTAGGGTCCAAAGATTTTATCTGGGCAATTAAGGATGGCTTCATACAACCTAGGTATTAAAGAAGCATGAGTAGGAAATGACCAAATGCAGGAGGGCCCAGAGCATGTCATATAAATATATAAAGAGAGGTGGAAGGCCTGGCTAGGCACGTTCAGATATGGGTTTGGTGGAGGAGCATGGAAGGGGATCAGACTGGGCTGAGAATATACACGGTCACATTAATCACCTGGCTCTTCTGAACCAGACAGGTTGGCTCTCTGCTTCCTGCTGTAGTATTCCGTTCTCCAGCCAGGTGTGGAGTGTGTTGTGTCTCTCATTGCCAACCCTGTGTTTCTGCTGGAATTCCACAAAATATCAGCTCCGAGAATATGTGAGCAGAAAAAGAGAGCGGGGGGGGGTGCAGAAAGTGACTCCCTGAGTGGTTGTGTTTCCTCAGCACCCTGTGAGTCAATATGCAAATACTCAGATAGTGTTGCCCAGTGTGTGGGCTTCAGGAATACATGGATACTGAATATGGAGGCATGAATTCTCCTGCCAAGAGAAACTACCCTCAGTGACTTCTGGCTGGTTACTGAAACAGTAAGCCCTGCTACCCACTTGTACTTTGACATATACAACACCTGGGAACCTCAAGGAGTCCAACCTCCTTTGGCCTTCAAGTGGGGGTTTCCATTCCTGCTTTGGTCTGTTACTCATTTTGTACATGGGAGAAAAAAGGGAACATACCTCACTTTCTCCATTTTATTATAGCTGAGATTTTGTAGACACATGGAAAAGCACTGTACTTTCATTTTGGGGAGTAAAGATGGTTCTTGTTATATCTAATCAGTAAACCTTTGCATGACTGTGTGCACGTACTCAAATGCATGTGTGTATTTGTATTTCACGAAAGACAAGTTTTCAGGAAAAAATGAAAGTGAAATACACGAAATATATTTTGCAATCACATATATTAAGTCATAATATGGAAGTGTATCTTGACCTTTAAAGTCTTCTTCTTTGTTGCTGTCTACTTATTTCATTAATTGTATAGTGACCAAAAATATGCTTTTAAGATTATAGTAGCCTTCTGGCTCCAACTCAAACCAGGTGTCTTGGTTACTTTTTTCTCGTTGCTGGGACAAAATATCCAACACCCAAAATGAAGGAAGGAAAGGTTTATTTAGCTCACAGTCTGTGGAGGTTTCAGTTCATACTCTGCTGGCTCCAAGGCAGAGTGGCACATGGCAGAGGGCAACAGTTCATGGTGGTGGAACAGCAAAGCAACAAGAGCAAAAGGGAAGAGTGATAGAGAGGAGCAAGCCTCTTTCCCTCCCTTATATTGTAAGCAGGCTCCCCCAACCCAGGGGGCATGTAGCACTCACATAATCTTCATGCCCTCCTCCTGCACAGGCTCAGGATGAATACAAAGTAAGCACCCTGGCTCCCTGCTGAGTCACACAGTTAACCTTCTAAACTTGTCAAATTGACACAATAAACAACATCCCAGAAGGGTAAGGGCATGTCCTGTTTACCCCAAGATGCAGAACTGCTGAGTCACTTAGCCAAACCTCTAGACTCCCCAAGTTGACACAAGGTATCAACCATAACACCAGGGTAACTGTAATAGTATTTAAATACATATTTTTCTAACCTAGAATTTCTATTTGATAATCTACTCCTTTTTCCTCCTGGACTAGATTTCAAATAATTTGAGATTATTTATAAATCTGATGATTCGTTTCCAAAGTATGGACATTTGTCCTCACTGGGGTTAGTTGATACAGTGTATTGTGGTTTTGTATAGCACTAACTGATGCATAGGTCTGTGTGTCTGTGAGTTCTTCAGCATTCGTACATGTAATATTCTTTTCCTAACAGCGACTATGGCTATGAGAGACATGGAGAGAGCCAGTGTGTTCCTGCATTCTGGTATAATCCAGCATCCCCCTCAAAGGACTGCAGCCTTGGGCAAAGTTACCTTAACAGCACTGGGTAAGAACACGCAAAGGAACTTAATTCGTTGTTTTCCTACTTCCTTGCATTAGAATCAAAGGAAATACATTGCTTTTTAAGAAGAAAGGGTGCAAATAGGGTTTGTTTGTGACAAGAAGTTTTGGAGGAAACTGAGTTGTTTACCTGGGATTACCGTTACTGGAAAGCATGAGAAGAGATTTCTGATGGCCCAGATTTCAATGCATTTTGCCATTTACCTCTGGAAGACACTATTCCTCTGTAAAATTTCTCTCCTCCTAAGGGATGTTACCTTTATTCCTTGGGCTTCACGTGAAGGAAATGGTAGAAGATGAATGTAAATTCTCATGCACTCATGCTCAAAACTTGCAGTGAAAATTCAGAAGTCTGATCCTGAGGAATTTCTGGAATGAAATGGTCAAGGCATATTTTCAGTAATTCTCCAATACATCTCTTTCTGTCTTCCTTTGCTTATTAGTTACCTGTCAGATACTTGAAAAGTTCCCTCAGAGAGGTGCTGTAGTCTTTTCCTTTGATGCCTCTGTGACCCAGAAGACATTTGCCAAGTGGGTGGGTGGACGAGGACAGCATTTCTCAAATTCTAATGTGCTCACGTATCATCTGAGGATCTCATTAGAACACAGTTATGGATTGGAAAGAACTGGGATGAGGTTTAGCTTCTTCATTTTTAATAATCTTCTAAATGATGATGATGATATTGTTTGTCTCTAGACCACTCTGTGAGTGGCATGGGACTAAGATGTTCTGGACTTCTATATCATCTATTCCAATGGATCATCCCTCATCCTACCCAAGCTGCTCACCTTCTTTTACTTTTATTTTATCTGGTTGTAAGATAGTGGTATATCCCAGCTAACATTTACAGAGGAAAAATGAGCATAATGCAAAAGGCATATTGAGTGTTCTGAGATACTCTGAAAGACATGATATTTTTGGTCAAATATTTGGTTCTGGAAGAGCCATTCTGGGAATCCGGTCTGAAGTTTTAGGACCTCTGACATTGTGTTACAGGTTTAGAAATGTAAGGCAGTCAAACTCTAAATCCAGGGGCTTCAATTTAAGGAGATAGGATGTTACAGAAAAAGGTGCTAAAATGTTGGGAGGGAAGAAGATATAGTGGTCACAAGGCATCACCTGGGCCACTCAGTTCCTAATCAACATATCCCTTGGACATTATTAGAAAAGAATTGTGTGGGCTGGTGATATAGCTCAGTGGCATAAGCTTCCACCTGGCAAGCACAAGGTCCTGAGTTCAATTCCCAGTACCAAAAAAAAAAAAAGTAATAAAATAAAGAAGAGAAGAATTGCATTAGAGTACCTCATATAACCATAGGGCATTATAAGTGAACCCAATTTTAAACAGGTTAGATATACAAAAGCATCAAGTAGCTAGCCAAAAAAATCAGGAAGGTGAAAAGGAAAGTCAATTCATAGTTTTTTCAAACAATTTACTATAGACCTCTGCAAATACTTCCATGTTTCTGAAGTGTTGGCTTATATTAGACATCCTCAGCCAGCTTGAGGTTTTTTTTTTTTGGTTTTTTTTCCGGTACCGGGAACCGAACTCACGACCTTGCGCTTGCCAGGCAGGCGCTTTGCCGCTGAGCTAAATCCCCAGCCTCCAGCTTGAGTTTTAACCAACTGAAATTACAGAAAAAAGAGTAGATATTAAGTTTGCATTGGGACATGGTACTCACCAAAATAATACATCATCAGTAAAAAATCAATAAGTTGAGAATAAATATGGACAAGAAAGTAGAAGCTGGTTAGAAAAATTTGATTATCTAGACCAGTGAAGGACAAAAGAAACATATTGTGAAGAACAAACAATTTAAATTTTTCTAATGGTCACATTTTAAAAGTTGTAGAAGTTGAGCTTCACTCTAATAATACATTTTATCTAAGCAGATATAACAAAGAGACTGTCATTTTAACATATTTCGTGCAGCCTTAACCACATTCCAAGTGCTAAGCACTCACGTGTGCTAAGCAACTACCACAGAGGGCAGCACTGCTCCAGTCATGAGCTCCCTTGGCCATTAACATCTGGGCCAATAAGTACTGACATCTGCTCAGTGTCTGCCTGGGATCTCTGCAAGAAGGTTGAGGGTGGGTAGTTCAGCAGTGGGTGACACCGGGAATGTCAGGTGGAATGAACGACCAATACCACCCAAGAAGTTTTGGGGGTTCTCTGGTTTTGAGGCCACCAGAAGAAGACAGCATGGATGAATGAGTCAAATCTTACCGACATACAAGATGAAAAGAGACCAGATACGGTGGTGAGGATGACCCTGGGTGTCGTGGTGTGGTGACGGAGGTAGTTGTGGTGATGATACTTTATTTTATGTGGCTTTATAAAATATTAATTTTAATGAAGATTTGGAGTGTGTGATTTACCTAGAAGTAATGTTTGCATGCAAATCAGATCTCTAGGCCACCAGGGAAAGTGACACATCATCACTGTAGCCAGATACTTCTGTTGTGGAAGGTCAGATGACTTTGCAGGGACATTTTTCCAAAACAATCTTATTGCAAGGTGATTTTACTTTGAAATGGAGTTTCAAACTTTTGCTTCTTAACCTGGTACTTGTGCTGGGTAGGACATGAAATATTAGCAAAGGGAGAAAGTGTGCTGTAGAATAACCCAGTGGCTCCAGAGTAAGGGCTATTAGGTACTAAGGGAAAGAATGACGTCCTGGGGATACGGAGAAGACAGGAAGAGCCCTCCTCATCAATTAAAGTGGGACGCCTGCTGTCCCAGTGTTTTATGGTACAGAGAAAGCTGAAGGTGGCCATAGAGCAATAAAACAGGCTCCGCCCTGCCAGAGAGCTGTGCTTGCTTTGCCTTCTTTCCCTAATCCAGTCGCCGCCTCCTCCTTTGATGGGTGTGATTCAGACATTGATTTTTCCTGGCTGGTTTAGACACTGATCTGATCCATGGCTCACCAGGTAGGATCAATAATAATGTTTAAGGAGCTACTTTTCCTGAGGTAGAGGGATAGCAGTTCCTCAGCCTTTGTTTGTCTTCATAAATGGCTGTGTTTTTTGAGACTCAGATTTTAGGGGCAGCTGCAAGAAACATCTCTCTTATTTTTGCTTTCATGCATTTTCTAACACACACACACACACACACACACACACACACACACACACTCTAGGCACAAACATACGACTCTCAATTGTCAACTCTCCTCAGGTACCGGAGAATTGTGTCCAACAACTGCACAAATGGACTAAGAGACAAGTATTCTGCCAAGGCCCAGATGTGTCCTGGAAAAGCCCCTCGGGGCCTCCACGTGGTGACAAATGATGGGCGCCTGGTGGCAGAGCAGGGACACAATGCAACCTTCATCATCCTCATGGAGGAGGTAGGTGCCCACTTGGGTCTCTGAAGTCAGAACTCACATGCCAGCAGCCATTCCTCCTTCCCAGAGAAGGAAGAAGACCTGTCATCTCTACACCCAAGCTGCTGCACTGATGTCAGCAGTAAGAGGTGAAGACTCGTAAGCAGAAGATTAGAGAGTGAAAGAAGTCTTGGTGTTTAGATATTTTCCTCCTTACATCCGTAAGAGTGCCCTGTCTGCAGTGGGGTCCTCCACTTGCTTCTGGGGCATGCAGGTCTGGATATATTCTGCACGTATTGTCTGGATGAAGGGTATATATCAGATTCTTCAGGGACGTATTCCTCAGGGTTCCCCTTTAGGGTCTATTTAGGAAATGTTTATCATCATAAGACTATAAAGTGCCAGAAAAAGAAATTCAGCTCACATCTGTTGCTTTTGGGATCCTCTTTTTCTTATTCTGACTCTGTGTGTCACTAATTGGAAAGGCCCAGGGAGCTTTTAAAGGGTCTGAAAAGTATGAGTTTGAGGGCCGGGGAAGATTACTGAAAGGCTTTAAATTTATCTTTGTAAAGAATGTTATATTAGTTGCTTTTACATCAGCTACCTGCTCATTAGTTCATTTTATAGTTTCCTTTGCTCTGAGCAGTAAAATCAGAGTGCAGGCTTTTAATCTGGGACAGAAGTTCCTCCGCTGCTCATTTCTTGCTCCCCTTGTGAGCTGTTTCACCAGAGAGTGGGCACTCCGGAGGTGGTGAAGCTAGAAGGCTTGCCTGAGAGACAAAGTGTGCTAAATTTATATGCAAATTGCTCTGTGCCCTCGATCTTAGAAAGAAAGCAAAGTTGGCCAGAGGGTTTTTTCTCACATATGTGAGCACCTTAGTCTTTAAGGTCAAGACCACTCCAGACAGGATGGCGAAGGTTCCTTATCCCAGGTTGACAGATGCCTCAGCCTTCACCCGCACCAGGTGCTTGAATTCAAGTACTTTAAGAGTCAGAGCAGGTCATTATCACTTTTCCACTAGGGAGTTTTCAAAAACCTTCTCTTGAATGGATGTAAAAAAATCATGATCTTATCCATTTGAATTGCCTTGAGTTCATTTCCACTTTAATTTATATTTATAAACTCAAGGGTGGCTGATATTGTATGGGGGTCAAAAGAGCACCCATCAATATTTCACTCACATCTGGGTTGCCACAGGGGAAGAGATGGAAAGGAGAACTGTGACGGATACATAATTTTGAGGCAGAAAGTATGGCTCCTAAATCCAAACCAATGTGTTTTCTCTTTTATTCCGTCATCCATCTTTGTACAAAAGTGAACAGAAATGTCTTATTTTTCTTCATTCAGGATCTTTGTTTTGTTAGGTTCATTGTCTTGATCTAAAGTGTTGGTCCGGTACATTTGGTGTACAGAAGGATGGGCTCAGCCTCTGTCCCAAGGAAGCTCTGTGTCTGCTGGGTGTGGTATGAGGCACTCAGCTGGGCCACTGACAGTAGGAGGCCAGGCAGCAAGTAGGGGTATCTGTGATCTGGGACAGCCAGAAGAGGCTGCACGGAAGAAGGGGTTCAGGTAGATTTCGAGAAGAACAAGAGAATGGAGATATAAATTTGGATAGTGTGAAGTTTTCATCCGTAGAACGAGCATCCTCATCCTACTGTATATTACTATTTTGGAGGTGACATATAATATGTGTAGAGTTATTAGCTTAGTCTTGGGGACATAATAAATGCTGAGAAATGAGAACAATTGTAATGATAACATGGTGGTGAGAACAGGAGTATTGGAGTTAGACAGTCTCTGTTTAGGACTTGGGTCTTCTACCAGCAGCAATGAGAATAGTTTGATTAATTTGTATTTTATCTCCATTTGTACATTGTAAGTACTTTCTACACCATGCAGTTGTGCTTGGCATTGATAGAAACTCTATACTTGTTAGCTGTTGCTATTATTGTTGTTGTTATTATTACATAGATGAAGAGTTAAATCATGCATGTCAAGATGTCGGGACAGTCCTTGGGATTCATTCTCCATTGCTTGCCTCTCAATGCCCATGTCTTGGTGACTCAGGCTACTCTGAGCTTGGTGATGCAGTAACAACCTGTGAGAAATCAGGTAGAAGTCTGGTGATCATGCTAGGGTATTTTTGCCCTAGAGACTGACTCTGGTTCCATACAGAGAGATGCTGAAGCCCAGGAGAAAGCAGTACATAGAAGTCGGGTAGGACTGCATGAATAGACCTGACCAACTGCTATTCTGGCTTGCAGGGTGATCTCCAGAGGACAAATATCCAGCTTGACTTTGGGGATGGGATTGCTGTGTCCTATGCTAACTTCAGCCCCATCGAGGATGGCATCAAGCATGTCTATAAGAGTGCAGGGATCTTCCAGGTGACAGCCTATGCAGAGAACAACCTTGGTTCGGATACCGCTGTCCTTTTCCTGCATGTGGTTTGTAAGTAGTAGGATCCGGTCCCCTTTTCTCTTCCTTACAGCTGTCAACCCCCTCTGTCTGGACTTTCTGGAATTTGGAACTGAGAAACAGTTCACTGCAACTATTACAATGATGCAAATCAAAATATTACTTACATGCAATTTAGTTTTCTTTTTATTTTAAAGAGACAAAAACAATGAAAAGGTTACAGAATTTGAAAACAAGATGATGGAAAATGAACAATGGCTATTATATTGCATATTGTTATCTTCAAAGTGGTTGCTCAGATTACCAGGTACAGGCATGCAAAAGTGACCAAACACTATAGTGATTTAATTTTAAACTACCAAAGTAGATCAATTATTTTGAAAATTTGGAGACTATATTACCACACTACCCTCCTTTTCAGTGCCCCTCTGCACATGCAGACACACAATCACGGGAAATAACCCTCCTTCTGCCTTGGAGAATCCTGAAAATAGAAGTACAAACCCCATCTAATTTATGGTCTCATGTTCATCTTCAAGTTATTATGAGTGAAGGCAACACAAATCAAACTAAACTGGTACTTCTTTTGGAAGAGCCAGAGAAGGATTTAAAAAACAGATTTTTTTAAAAGAAGAACTAAACACTTAAAAACTTGATTCCTACCTCCAAAGTTACTCACATTCATTATGTTGTAAACAATTCTAAGAGCTCTTCAGATTTTTTTTTAGTCTATTTCATTGTTACTGGCTCTTTCTTGGCAGAAACGAAAACAACAGCTGAAGTTCCAAAATATTTTGCTTTAAATGCATTTTGTGTATTAGATGTACTGGGACTTGACTCAGATAAACTGAGACATAAACATTGTGGGTTCAGGATGGTGAGTCAAGGCAATGTTGTTACGGAGCTGACACTGGTTTCATACACCTTTGTCAGCGACACCCATGTGTCTAAGGACTTCTCTGATTCTTATCCCTCCACCCATGTGCATGAGGGAACTGTTCCAGGATCCCCAGCAGATGTCTGGAACTGCAAATGGTACCAAATACTATACAGATTATCTGCTTTCCTATAATAATGGGAGGTAGCCTATACATTATGGGTATGCTAGACAAAAGCATGATTCATGTCCTGGGCAGGATAACACACTACTCACAAAAATCATGTAGTTTAAAACTTGTGATTGTTTATTTGTGGGATTTCCCATCTAACAGTCAGATTGTTGTTGTCTGCGTGTAACTAAAACTTTAAATGAGTAGGGATCAGTATATCCCACAGTGGTTTTCCAACTGTGCCCCCATCAGGACAAGTAAATGTTCTGAAAGCATTTAAGTGAGCATAAGGAGCTCCTTTCTTATTAACAACTTTGTGGTGGTATAAATTTCTCCATAAGCCACACCTAAGCAGCCCTTGGCAAACAGTAAACTGCATAGTCCGCTAGTACAAGAGCAACACTGATAGTAGCAGTGTTTGGGAGGAGACCTAGATTACAGATCAGTTGTGTCAGCAGTAATGCAGTGTGTGTGACTTTGAGATAAATCCCTTCTTCTTTGAGTTTTCTAAATTCCAACTTTAAAATGGCTTACTTCTGACTCCTACTTGGCCTCACAGGGCTCCTGTAACAATAAAATGGAAATACAAATAAAATACCTCAACATTCACTAATTTATTCCACAAATATTTGTTGACTTCTTAATATGTGCAAGGCACTCTTCCAGGAAGTCAGAGATAACAGTGCCAACACGGTCCTGCCCAGACAAGATTTATATTCTGCTGGGGAAAGAGGTACTGTGAGAAATGAGCCTGGAATGGGAAAAATGGTGATGCCCCCACGCCCCCATGGATAGTGATCATGCTGTGCTGAAAGCACTGGGCCAGATGTCCAGGTGGGTGGTGTGCAAGACATTCATAAGCCCAGGCTTTAGAGCAAGAGACATCTACATTGGAATTCTGATCACGTCCCTTTGTTAAATGCCTGATATTGGTCAACTTTCTTAGCCTTTATACACCTGTTATTCCTCATCTTTAATAATTAGCTTGTAGGAATCACATTAGACAATGTATGTGTTAAGGGGGCACCTAAGACCACCTCACATTTCGTGATTCACTGAGAGGACTCACAGAACTCAGCACACAGCTTCACTCCTGGCTCTTTATTCCTGCAAAGCAAGATCAGCCAAGAGCAAAGGCTCGGGGAGAAGAGCCCAGAGCAAACTAGGCACAAGCTTCATGCATCCTTCCCACTGGAGTAACACAGGACAAGCCAATTCCTGTGCCCGTGAGTGGTACCAGCATGCGGGCTGGCTGCCAGAGGAACTCATAGCGACTCAGTGCCCGTGCTTTTTATTGGGGCTACTGCATAAGTGCCTCTACCTGGCATATATCAAAGCTCCAAACTCCTCACAAAAAGCAGGTGTTCGGAGCAAATCACACTGTTTGCAAAAACAGTTCGGCAAAACGAACCTCTCTGACCAGTTAACTGTTGATTGGAAACTCTCCAAGCGCCCAGCTCCCAGCCTCCTGCCAAGGCCAGCCTTATGCACAATCCTGTCGGAAGGACAGCCATCTCAGTCTTAGGTACATTTTCTTTCTGCACAGTGTGCAGAATGCCACATTACACCAGCTTGAACATGATGAATGTTACCTGTTATTACTGTAATTACTAGTACTTCCCATTAACTCTCTGCCTGACATTTCTGCTGCATTTAAAAATGAAGACAGAAGGGAAAAGAAATTCATACTCCTCCTTTAGGGAGACTGGCCCCACCCAATTTCCTGATTCTGCCACGAGGAGGTTCCGCTTTCAGGTGGGAAGACCGACATGACTTAGTGAGAGCACATAGCACCAAGGTGCAGGTTTATACTCTGGGTTATGGGCTCGGAGGAGGAAATGTCCCTTGAAACTTTTATCGCGCTCATAATTCCCTCCAAATCAATCACGGCTGCATTTACCGGACAGTTATTACAGTGGAAACTGCTCTTGGCCTCACCTTGGGCCATTAGCTAACAAAAGTAGTTGTTAGCTGCCCATAATAACCAACCTCGCACAGATTATTAGATTTTTATCCAAAGAGAGACTGTTTGACAGCGAGAGTGTAGGCTTTGCTGTGTCCCCTCCTGAACCCCTCCACTCTTTTCTCGCTGCGTGGTCTGCCTCCATGTGGAATCCTGAAGCTTCTGGCTTGGGATTCTTGCCCTAAAAAGCTGCTGCATGATGTTTCTTAAGATTGAATTTAACTGAACATGCTTGACCAGAAGCCAGAATAAGGTGAGCATGTTCAGTGGTGTTCTAATTCATAGAAGCTCATCCAGTTCCTGTCCAGTGTAAATTTAGGGAGGAGATCTCCTTTCATTGTCGTGGGTATCACATTACCTCACGGTGCCAGCCCTGCCTGAGCCAAGGTCCCCAAGGTGGCAGAGACCTGAGGAGATCTCCAAGGACCCAAGCTACAGTACAACCTTGCTGAGCTGTGGAAAAGCCCAGATTCCATGACATATCCTGGGGAAGAGGTTTCATTCCTTTGAGAGACAGCGGGGGAAATAGAAGCAATGATACAAGTGCAAAACAGGCCTTTTTCTCAGTAGGAGAGGATGAGAAATTTGAACCTGTATGTGAAGAAAAACTCTGAGTGTTAATATAGGAAAGCAGGTTTTCCTCGCACTCCCTGGAAAGAGCTACCTGGAAAGCCCCTTTCTCAGCGTTTTCCTCTTCCGCATTGATCGTCAAAACAGAAACAATAAGTAGAAATTTAACCACGTAAACCTCTAAAAATGAGTCAATAAAGCAACAGATGTAGCCAGTATTTTCTCACATCTTGCACTCTTTTACTGACATCAAACAAACTATACAAAAACTAATAAATACATTTGCTCGTTTAACATAATTAGACCTTCAGCCAAATGTGTATATGTGGTGACAAGGTTGAAATTATTTGCTGGAGGAAAGTCTTGAGATGCCATATGTCTGCAGTCAGGGCAGAGAGCTGCAGGCAGAAAGCATAGATCCCTTTTCTTCATTAATTTTTTAGCTGACAAAAATTGTAGAAGTTTATCATGGACAACAAGTTACCATGAAATATATATGCACTTGAAATGGTTCAGTCAGGCTAATTCTCATGTACTTTCCTTCTCGTACTTATATTTGTGGTGATAACATGGAAAAGTCTGTTTTCTTAGTGATTTTCAAAATGCAGTATAATGTTATCCACTAGTCACCAATGTACAATAAATATCTCCAGTGTGTTCCACCTCTCTTACTGTAGTTTAGCATCCTTTGGCTAACAGCGACCCTGTCCCACCTCTGGCATCCCTACTCTTTGCTTCTCTGACTTCAACTTCTTTAGATTGCACTTATGAATGAGAAGATGAGGTATTCAACCTTCCATGCCTGGCTTATTTCTTAATGTGACAATCTGCAGGTTTATGCATATTGTTGCATATCAGAGTTGAGAAAATAACGTATCAAACCCCCAAATACAATACTGGTGCATTAATAATTTCTCCTCAGTATTTTCCTCTGCTTTTATTCTGGAAATGATTAAAATCCTCACTTGTCATGCCCAGGTTGCATCCACCTATGTCTTTTACCTGCTCAGTGGTATTTACACCAATTTTCTGAGGAAAAATGTGAGAGAAGCCGGACTTTTGTTATTTCAGAACTGGCATTTGTCTCCCATTCCATCTAGGGAGAAGCGTGTTTCCTTCTTTGTAAGAGAAAAACGGGAGTGCTCGCCAGTTTCTGAATGACACCCTCTGTATCCTGCAGATGATAGGGCACAGTGGCCAATTATGGAAGAGAATGGAAACCAATTAACAACCGAGGATAGTGGACAGTGGAATAGCTCTCCTTGCGATGCAGTGACCCCAAATCACGACCCGGCCAATCTCACAAAGAAAATAGACCGCTGTTTATCTTCCCACTTAATGGCTACAAGTCCAGTAAACTAGCTGTCTCCTTGGATGGGAGATGTCTAAGAGTTCCTGGAGGTTGGCAATTATCAGACATAAATTAAATTCAGATACCGCTCTCGAAATCTGAAACTGGTGTTGACTTCCCTGTTGTATTACTGAAACATGCTTCCTTCTCATCATACACATACTTTCCAACACTTGCAGGTGTGTGATCATTGCTTTATTACAGGGCATTGTAGTAGAGAGTAAGATTAAGAATGTGGGAGCACGGTAAAGTGTGACAGTTTATTCTGGAAATACCATGCTGCCCTGTTTCGTCTGTTCCTTTAGGTCCCGTGGAGCATGTTCATCTCCGAGTTCCATTTGTCGCCATCAGAAATAAAGAGGTCAACATCAGTGCAGTTGTGTGGCCGAGTCAGCTGGGAACCCTCACCTACTTCTGGTGGTTTGGCAACAGCACCAAGGTTTGGTTCTTTCTGATCAGCATCAACTTAAATCTGTACTAAGTGCTTCTGGGTTGCAGCTTCTGTGTTAGTGTTGGGGACACTAGAAGGAAAGAACCCATGCAATTGAGTAAAACCTGCCTCCCCACCCTGAGTTCATTATTTTAATAGGTAAAATTGAAAGACTTCTAAAGAGTGAAGACTAAGGTGAGAAACTATACAAACACATATGTATATTTCTAAGAGTTCGCTTGTTCCATTTTGTTTTAATACTGCCTTATCCACTCACTACCTATATAATATCAAAGAAGCTGCTTATACTCTCTGATATTAGGTGATCTCAGTGTGTCAGATGTAAACTAGAGAGCTAAATGTGCAGTAATGAAAATTAAGTGGGAGAAGACATGGAGAATGCCCTCAACAGCACCTTTTCTGTGCTCTGCAAAACTCTGCCTTTTTAGGCAAGTCACTGAGGTTGTCTTGTCTCAGAGGAAGAAGCTAAAGAACCGAGACACTTCCCAGTTTCCCTCTGCTCCCAGAACCTGGTGGCGGTGATGCTTGTGTTGAGAATGCCCATAACTGCACAACTGGGAGCCATCAGATTGAAGATTCCTCAATTAATGTTCTTAATGTTGTTCTTCATTCCTCTTTGTTTTGTAACTTAGTTTTTTTTATATATCAGGTTCACAGCAGAATGAAGAGGAATCTACAGAGCTTTCTCATCTATGCTGGGTTCCCATAAATGTGTAGCCTCCCTCATTATCAGCACCCATGCGGAGTTCCCCATTCATAATAACTGACGAACTTACATTGGAACGTCATCATTGCCCAGAATACATTGCTGGCATTAGGATTCATTCTAGGTGTTGTACATTCTAGGGGTTTGAGCAAATGTGTGACCTGTATCTACATTATAGTGTAGAACAAAACACTTTCACTGGCTTTGAAACCTCTGTGTATCTTTTAATCATCCCTCGCTCTGTCTTAGTCCCTGTCAATCCCTAATATTTTACTTCATCTGTCGTTTTTTTCATTCAGTTACTAAATGACATCTTGTTTTCAAGTTTTGACAATTATGAATAAAGTTGCTATAATCATTCATAGGCAGGTTTTCTGTGTAGACTTAAATTTTCAACTATTTTGAATAAATGCCAAGAACATGATTGCTGGAATGTATAGTAACAGTGTGTTTGATTTTATAAGACTGTACCGAAATGAGTTCAAAAATGCTTAGTCTGGTTTGCAGTCCCACTAGCAGTGAAGAGGTGTTCCTGCTGCTCCACACCCTCACGAGCATTTGGAGGTACTACGTGCAGGATTCTGGGCATTCTCACAGGCCTGCAGTAGTACTTGTTTGTATTTGTATTTCCCTGATGATACAGCATGTGGAGGATATGTCATGTGCTTACTCACCAGTTGTACATCCTCTTTGGTGAAGTGTCCATTAAGACGTTTCACTCATTTAAAAAAATGTGTTGTTCCATTTCTTACTGTTGAGTGTTTAGCAGTTCTTTATACATTTTTAAGAAAAATTCTGATATGTCATTTGCAATTATTTTCTCCCAATCTGTGACTTGTCCATTCTCTTGATAAGGTATTTTGGAAAGCAGAATTTTTAAAATTTTCATGAATTTCAGCATGTCAATTCTTTCTTCCATGGACTGCAACTTTGGTGTTATAGCTACAGTCTCAGGCCCTTATTCAAGGTCATCTGGGTTTTCTCTTAGGGCATCTAGGAATTTTATAGTTTTTTGTTTTATTTTTACAATACATATATCTACCACTTGTTGAATGGAGAATTTTTGTCCTGTTTTATTATTTTTGCTGCTTTCTCAAGGATCATGTGAATCTATTTCTGGATCTCTATTCTTTTCCATTGATATATTTGTCTTTTCTTTCACTAATATCACACTGTCTTGGTTACTATAGATTGCCAATATGCCTTTAAGTTAGGTAGAGGCAGTCATTGAATCTTTTTTTGTTTTTGTCTTTTTGAGACAGGGTCTTGCTATGCAGTTCAGGATGGCCTTGAGCTCACTTTGGAGCCCAGGCTGGTCTTGAACTCTGAACGATCCTCCTGTGTCAACCTCCCAAGTGCTGGGATTACAGGCTTGTACCACCATGCCCTGCCTTAGTCACTGAACTGGGGTCCCCTTCATTATTGTATAGGTTATGCCAGGTCATTTGCTTCACAATATAAACTTAGAATAAATTAGTTCATATCTGGAAAATGACTTACTTTTTTAAAATTAGGGATTATATTGAACCTACAGATCGAATTTGTATGATATGACATCATGCATGACAAGCTGAATTTTCCTATGCAAAAACATGGAATATCTTGCTATTTTGTTATTCTCTGATTTGTCTCAACATGCTTTTGTAATTTCCTCTGTGTATATAGATCTTGCCCATAGTTTGAGAGATTTATACCTAAGTGTTTCATTGTTGGCAATGTGGATGTAAATGACATTGTGACTTTAATTCAAATTTCATTTGCTCATTACTAGAATACAGGAAAATGATGAACTTTTATATATTGACTATATATTCTGAAACATTGTCATAATCACACATTGGTCCCTTTAGTTTATTTGTCCTTAACGTTTTTGGATTTTGTTTGATTTTTTTTTTTCTGCTGAGACTTGGCATCATTTTTTCCTTATACATTTATTGAATTCAATAATAGAACCTCTAGGCCTGATGCTTTCTCTTTTGTAGAATAATTAATTACTGATTAAATTTGTTTAAAGATGTAGCCCTACTTGGATTTTGGGTTTTTTCTCATGTGAGCTGCAGCTCACTCAATCTATTTTATCCAGGCTATAGAACCTGTGAGCACAGAACTATCCGGTGTATCCCTGTATTTTCCTTTTGATTTCTTTGGGAGTGGTAGCAAAGTCTTTGATTTATTTGAATGGTTAGTAATTCATGTCCTCTCTCTTTTTTCTTAGCCTGGTTAGATATTTATCAATTTTATTAATCTTTTCAAAGATCTAATTTTAAGTTTCATTGATTTTCTTTATTGATTTCCTGGTTCTGGTTTCATTGATTTCTATTCTCATTTTTTTCTGGCTACTTTGTATTTGATTTGTTCTTTTGTAGTTTTCTAAAGCGGAATTTAAATGGTTGATTTTAGGTCTTGCATCTTTTCTAAAGTATGTGTTTAGTGCTATAAGCTCTTCTCCAGTAACTGCTTTTGCTATATCCTACATATTTTGATAGGTTATATTTTCAGTTTTTAATTCAAAACCTTTTTAATTTCACTTGAGATTTCTTCTTTGAATGTTGTATTTTTTAGCAGTGTGTTGTGCAGTGTTCAAACAGTTGGCGATCTTTTGGTTATCTTTCTGTTGCTGATTTACAGTTTAATTCAATTGTAATCTGAGCATGGATGTTATATGGCTGCTGTTCTTTCAAATCTGTTAAAGTGTGCTTTATGGCATAGTACATTGTGATGCTTGGTGAGTGTCCTGTGTGCATTTCGGAAGAGTTTATTCTGCTGTCTTGTAATGAACTAATTATTGAAGTGAATTATATATCATTGATTACTGGGCTGTTCACCTATTTCTTATTGATTTTTCTCTCCTTTTTACCATATGAATCATGTTTTAACATACTTTAATTAGTGAGTTCCTAAAATTTCAGTAGATATTCACAACTAATCCAAGCCTGTTTTAAATAACATTACTTGGCCTCTTGGTTAGTGTGAGCATGTAATAATAACAAAATAACCACATTTTCTCGCTCCATCTCTTATATGTCTACAGCATACATAAGGTTAATACTAAAGCTCACATAAGAAAACATATGTTGGTAATACTATTTTAATAAACTTACCTGCTAGGTCAATTAAAATAAGAAAAGACATCTAATTTTTTAAAATTTTCATCATGCAATAAGCTTGTGCATATAATTATTTTGTTGTTAAATTTTTCCTGTAAAGGTAAGAATGTTTTTTATATTTTCTCTATTAATATCTCTATATACTATATGAAAATACAAAAATATAAAATAAAAACATTTACTTTCATTTATCGTTCCCTTAATTCTCTATTTTCATTTTGTGCTTCGGGGTTTCTGGTTGATATTGTTTTCCCTATCTCTGAAGAAATTTTTTTTAACAAATCTTACAACACAGATGTACTCGCCACAAATTCCCTCAATGTTTGTTTGTCTAAGAAAATCTTTTTTCTTTACTTTTGAAGAATAAATTTGTAGGGTAATAATTCATAATTTAGTGGTTTTTTTTTTCTCTAAGAAAATGATTGGTGTTTCTTTTCCACTCAAAGTATTAAATATGTCATTCCACTTTCTTCTTCTTAACTAATGGTTTCTGAAGAGAAGTTGGATATATTCCCACCCTTTTTCCTCCACAGGAAACATGTTTGTTTCCTCTGACTTCCTTTGGCATTTTTAACTTTCCTTTGACTTCCTGTAACTGAGGAATGATGTGCCCAGCTGGGATTTCAGCATTTATCTTGCTTAGCGCTCAGGGAGCTCCTTGTGTCTTTGGTTTGTCTGACGCTACCTTGGAGTAGGTCTGAGGCATTTGTTTCCATATTTCCCCAGTTCTCTTCTGTCCTCTCAGCTGGGTGTTCACATTACATGTATGTACAACTTCTGTAGTTGTCACACATCTTTGGGTGTTCCTCTCTTCCTCCCCTTCTTCCTCTTTTAATTCTTCTCTTTGCTTTTCAGCTAGGAGATTTTCACTAAAATAAGCTACATCTAGTCAGCTAACAAGATCGTGAGATTTGTGATTTCTGTTTTATTAATTAGACCCTTTAGTGCATTAATCACAGTCATTTTAAATACTGCTCGCATCTCTTCAGGGTCTCTATCACACTTCTGTCTGACACTTTCCCCCCTCTCTCTTCATACTATTGTATACCTTTTATTGTGACTAGAACTTCTCCCTTGGTATCTGGATATGATGTTCTGGTTAAGAAGAGCGCTGTAAATAGGCCTACAGTAATGCAGCGCTCAGCTAGGAGAGGCAGGGAAGTGTTCTGTAAACA